ACTACTACTACTACTACTGTACCACGAGTACTACCATCTATGACTACAGCCCTCGTATTACGACAACCTTAAAACGTTTCTGGTTCAGCACTATTTTGGAACTACGGAACTAGCGCACGGCTACCGTACCTGCGTACAACAATGTTGGCATGCTTTTTCCTCGTCTACGATTGCTAAGACGATAACGACTCCTACTACACTACTACAGCGCAACTGTAGTGAACAGCTGCTGCAAAAGTAATGTTTTAATACGCAACTAGAATATGAGTGTACTGCCCCTCTAATCATCACTAAAGTACTACTACCACTACTACTACGACAACGACTACCACGACTACTTCTACTACTATAACTACTACTGCTACTACTTTTACAACTACGACGACGACGACTACGACTACTACTACTATTACTACTACTACTACTACTACTACTACTACTACGACTACTACTACTACTACGACTACTACTACTGCTACTACTACTACTACTACTACGTCCACTACTACTACTACTACTACTACTACTACTACTACTACTACTACTACTACTACTACTACTATTACCATTCATACTACTACGACTGCATATTCTACTACTACTACTACTACTACTACTACTACTAGTACTTGTATTACTACGGCTATTTCTACTGCAGCTGCTGCTACTACTACTACTACTACTACTTTTACTACTACTACTACTACTACGACTACTACTACTACTACTACTACTACTACTACTACTACTACTACTACTACTACTACTACTTCTACTACTATTACGATTACTACCACTACTACTACTACTACTACTACTACTACTACTACTACTACTACTACTACTACTACTAGTACTACTACTACTACCACCACTACTACTACTACCACCACCACCACCACCACCACCACCACCACCACCACCACCACCACCACCACTACTACCACTAATACTACTACTACTACTACTACTACTACTACTACTACGGCTACTACTACCACTACAACAACAACTACTACTACTACTACTACTACCACCACCACTCGTGTAACAAACGTACTACTATGACTACAATAGTAATGCTACGACTACAATCAAGAACTACTAACGCCATGCTATTACGGAACTACAGAACTAGGGCACGGCTACAGTGTTTGAGTACTAATTGGAGATCTTCCTTTCGTTTATTACTCCGACGACGACGAACACGACGACGACGACTGCTGCTACTCCTGCTGCTAAATCTACTAGAACCAGAGTTCGATTAGTACAATACAGTACCACTACTACAATACTACTGTTATGGAACTATACTACAACTACCACAATCATACCGGAGAGAACCCCAATCGGGGCTATAGGGCTATTGAGCTATAGGGCTATAGAGTTGTAGGGCTATAGCTATAGGGCTATAGAGCTACAAGGCTATAGATTTGTAGGGCTATAGGGCTATTGGGCTATAGGGCACCCCCGGGCACGCCCCGGCACCCAGGCACCGGGGCACCCCCGGCACCCAGGCACCCCCGGGCCCCCCTGGGCACCCGGGAGTGTAGCGAAAATCGGTGACAAACCTAACCTAACCATATGAATCCGCTAGGACCCCTACAGAGGCAAGCTCTGATTGGGGAATATGCTTCTGGCCATGCCGACGCCGCCGCCAGCTCGGCGGGCATCGTGCCAGACACCCTGCAAAACGCATCGCAAAACGCATCCATGATTGCGGCCGTCGCCTTCAAAAACTCCGGCGGCAGGATCAGGTAGGCCAAGGTGCCGCGCAACTCGAACTGGATACCGATCCAGACATGGACGCCCTCGGTGAAACTTCCTGTTCGCCATACTAGCCCCAGGCCGAGGGCGAGCCACCACCCCGGGACCGTGTCCAAATTCCAGTGACTGGCAACATGGCCCGGGCGGGCCAGACCAGGAATGACTCGACCCTGCCGTACTCGAGCGGGTTGGCTTGTTCCCCCGAAACCCAGGACTCGCCAAAAAGATGACGCGGCCGGGCCGTGCCAGGGGGCCCCTCGAGGACCGCGGAGTTGAAACGCCTCTCGCTCTCGTGGAGCGGGATGCTCATGCAAGCGTTGAAGAAGTCGAGAACGAGGACACCGACCTGATGAACCCGAGTGGGCGCCCCTACGCGCTGCCTGAACAAGGCGAGATGGACCGCGTGATCGACCCTCCTTGGCAGCACGACGCGCTCGCGCGTCGTGGACGCTCGGTTCACCTCCCTGGCCTTCAAGTCCTGTATGACCCTGTTCTGGAGCGTCCCGTCCCACTTTTTGGCGCCAGGCGTTGCCGAGCGGCGCGGGGAAGCAGCGCCCGTGCTTGGCCTCGGCGGTTGCCACCGTGTCGAAGGTCTCACCGTAGCCCGACTGGAGGTAGCCGCGGCTCAGGTCCAGGGACGGGGTCTCCACTTCCCCGTGCTCGTCGGAGACGGGCGGGTGGTTGGCCGAGAGCACGTAGGTGAACTCGAGAGCGGCGCCTGATCCAAAATGGCCACGGGCACGCGAGCGCCATGTGATTATGTGCATCTTCTCGGCTCCTGCACCCTTCGACGACGACGAGGACAAGACAAAACGACGACGACGACGACGCCGCCGACGACGACGACGATCGACGACGACGACGAACGACGACGAACGACGACGATCGACGACGACCGACGACGACCGACGACGACCGACGACGACCGACGACGACCGAGGACGACCGACGACGACCGACGACGACCGAGGACGACCGACGACGACCGACGACGACCGACGACCGACGACCACGCCGACGCCGACGCCGACGCCGACGCCGACGCCGACGGCGTCGACGACGACACGGGCGGACGTGCAAACCCTGACGGGCGGGTCGGGTCGGACGTGGGCGAGCGGACCCGAGCGGGCGGGCAGGGCGGGACGCTCGAGTGTGGTACATACTCCTCCTCCTCCTCCTCCTCCTCCTCCTCCTCCTCCGCCTCCTCCTCCTCCTCCGCTCGAGTTGGCACGCGGGAGCACGTCGTCGTTTGCCGTCGTCGTCATTGTTTGCTGGCGCTAGCGCCCACCGTCGTCGTTTGCCGGCGGCAATTCATGGTTATGCGGGGTGGGGGGGGATCGTCGTCGGCGTAAGCGTCGGCGTCGTCGTCGTCGTCGCCGTCGCCGTCGCCGTCGCCGTTGCAGTCGCCATCGACGTCGTCGTGGCCGTCGCCGTCGTCGTCATCGTCGTCGTCGCCGCCTTCGTCGTAGTCGTCGTCGTCGGTCGTCGTCGTCGTCGTCGTCGTCGGCGTCGTCGTCGTCGTCGTCGTCGTCGTCGTCGCCGTTCGTCGTTCGCCGCCGTCGCCGCCGTCGCTGTCGTGCGTGGCCGCCGCCGCCGCCGCCGCCGCCGCCGCCGTCGTCGTCGTCGTCGTCGTCGTCGTCGTCGTCGTCGTCGTCGTCGTCGTCGTCGTTGTCGTCGTGGTCATTGTCGTTTGCTGGCGGCGAGAAGGGAGGGGGTGGGGTGTTCGAACCCCCCCCCTTACATCCGACGGGGGAGTTGAACCCCCCCTCCTTCCAAACGGACACAGTAAGCGCTATGTCATATGATACATGCTTTGCGCCGTCACCACCGCCGCCGCCGCCATTGCCGTCCGCGCTGTCGTCGTTGCCGTAGCCGCCGCCGTCGTCGGACGAAATCCCGCCATGCACCAGGGCCAGCTCTCCCAGCCGCGTCTGGCCGTTTCGGCGAGAACCTCCCGAAGCGTCCAAAAACCTCGGAAACGCCGCCTCCGCCAGCGACGCCGCTGCCGCCGTCGTCGCCGCCGGCGCTCCCGCCGCCGTCGCCGTCGCCTCCGCCGCCGTCGGTCGGGGCCACCGCAGTGCGCTGGCAGAGCTTCGTTTGTCCCAAGCGGTAGCGGCCGTGCGGCGTCGTCGTCGTCGTCATCGTCGTCATCGTCGACGTCGTCGTCGTCGTAGACGTCGCCGCCATCGTCGTCGTGGTCGCCGCCATCGTCGTCGTCGTCGTAAACGTCGCCACCATCGTCGTCGTCGTCGGCGTCGTCGTGGTCGTCGGCGTCGTCGTCGTCGTCGTCGACGTCGCCGCCATCGTCGTCGTCGTCGTCGGTCGCCGTCGTCGCCAACGCCACCATCGTCGTCGTCGTCTTCGTCGGCGTCGTCGTCGGCGTCGTCGTCGTCGTCGGATGTCGTCGTCGTCGACGCCGCCGCCATCGTCGTCGTCGACGTCGCCGTCGTCGTCGTCCTCGAATTCGCCGCCATCGTCGTCGCCGCCATCGTCGTCGTCGTCATCGTCGTTTCCTCCATCGTTGTCGTCGTCGTCGTCGTCGGCGACGTCGTCGTTGCCGTCGCCGCCATCGTCGTCGTCGTCGTCGACGTCGTCGTCGTCGTTGTCGTCGTCGGCGTCGTCGTCGTCGCCGCCGTCGACGCCACCGCCATCGTCGTCGTCGTGGTCGTCGCCACCATCGTCGTCGTCGTCGACGTCGCCGCCATCGACGTCGTTGTCGTCGTCGTCGTCGTCGTCGTCGTCGTCGTCGTCGTCTTCGACGTCGCCACCATGGTCGTCTTCGTCGTCGCCGCCATCGTCGTCGTCGTCGACGTCGCCGCCATTGTCGTCGTCGTCAACATCGACGTCGCTGCCATCGTCGTCGTCGACGACGTTGCCACCATCGTCGTTGTCGTCGACGACGATGCCACCACGTCATCGTCGTCGTCGTCATCGACGTCGACGTCGCCGCCATTGTCGTCGTCGTCATCGTCACCGTCGTCGTCGCCGTCACCGCCATCGTCGTCGTCGCTGTCGCCGCCGTCATCGTCGTCGTCGACAGCGACTTTGCCACCATCGTCGTCGTCGTCATCGTCGGCATCGTCGTCGTCGTCGTCGACGTCGCCGCCATCGTCGTCGTCGTCGACGTCGTCGCCATCGTCGTCGTCGTCGTCGTCGTCGCTGGCGTCGGTCGTCGTCGGCTCGCTGCCGACGGCGGCGGCGTCATCCATCCAGCGTGCGGAGCGCGGGCGGGCCGGCTGCTCGGCCGCCGGCTGCCCCGCCGCCGCGGGCGGCAGCCGCGTCACCAGCGTGTGCGCCTGGGGCGAGCCCGGCGCTGGCTGGAAGGAGGTCACTTAGCTATCGAGGGAGGCGGAAGGAGGGAAGAGGGAGGAGGAGGGGAGAGGAGGGGGACGAGGAGGAGGAGGAGAAGGGAGGGAGGATTGAGAGGAAGAGAGGGGGATGATGGGGGGGGCGGAGGCAGCGGAGGGGAGGGAGGATTGGGAGGAGGAGGAGGAGGAGGAGGAGGAGGAGGAGGTCAGGGATCGACCTAAACAGTGCTTTTCGTTTACGTTTTGTTTTCGTTGTCCCTCTTTTTGTCTTCAATCTTGCTGCAAAACGAAACCGAAACGAAAACGGCCCACGAAACTGCTAAGACACCGTTTAGGTCGATTCCTGGAGGAGGGTGATGAGAAAGATTAGGTGGAAAGAAGGATGAAGAGCGAGAGATGAGGGCGAAGAGGGAAGGGGATGATGCTGGGTGAGTGAGGGCGACACGGGGGAGAAGGAATGAGGTGAGAGAGGAGAGTAGGGATGAGTACGTATGGCGGGAGGAGGATGGATGGAGCAGGGAGGGGAGGGAAGCAAGGTGAGAAGCGGGAGGGGATGAGGAAGGGACAACACGAGCGACTCACGGGTTGTCCCGTCTGTCTCGTGCTGCTCTCGTTTTTCCCCGGACCCTGCGCCTCAATTCCGCATCCTCACAGTCCTCGCGGAGTCAACATCGGATGAGGACAGGACAAGGCCAGTAAGGTAGAGAACGTCATGGCGGGGAGGGGCGCGGCCTCGCCCCAGATGGCTGATGTGGCAGCGGCTTTCCAGAACTCCGAGATCCTTTTCGTTTCATCCGCAGGGCCATCATGTGCCATACTGAAGGGGAACTGGAACACACAAATCCGCCGACCCTGTCGGCGTGTGTGAGGGGCTTTTCCGTTCGAGCCGTCATCTCCGTCATTCTTTGTACTCGTCGTCTCTGTCCTTCCCTTTCCCTGGGAGACCTCTTCCCCTGGGCTCCAGCCAAGCCGACCTTGAGCAACCTCGTAATTGAGTCGAAGGGAAGCCCCTTCCCTTTGATCCCTCCCCCGCCGGGAGGGGGGGGGGGGTAGCGACCCCCCCCCCGGGTCAGATACGACGCCCCCCCCTGGGACTCCTCTTCCCCTGGGCTCCAGCCAAGCCGACCTTGAGCAACCTCGTAATTGAGTCGAAGGGAAGCCCCTTCCCTTTGATCCCTCCCCCGCCGGGAGGGGGGGGGGGGGTTACCGACCCCCCCCCGGGTCAGATACGACGCCCCCCCTGGGACTCCTCTTCCCCTGGGACCTTGAGCAACCTCGTAATTGAGTCGAAGGGAAGCCCCTTCCCTTTGATCCCTCCCCCGCCGGGAGGGGGGGGGGGGTAGCGACCCCCCCCCCGGGTCAGATACGACGCCCCCCCCTGGGACTCCTCTTCCCCTGGGCTCCAGCCAAGCCGACCTTGAGCAACCTCGTAATTGAGTCGAAGGGAAGCCCCTTCCCTTTGATCCCTCCCCCGCCGGGAGGGGGGGGGGGGGGGGGGGGTAGCGACCCCCCCCCCGGGTCAGATACGACGCCCCCCCCTGGGACTCCTCTTCCCCTGGGCTCCAGCCAAGCCGACCTTGAGCAACCTCGTAATTGAGTCGAAGGGAAGCCCCTTCCCTTTGATCCCTCCCCCGCCGGGAGGCGAGGGGGGGGTAGCGGGGGGCGGTAGCGACCCCCCCCCAGGTCAGATACGACGCCCCCCCCCCGTACCGACCTTGAGCAACGTCGTAATTGAGTCGAAGGGAAGCCCCTTCCCTTTCCCTTCCCCGCCGGGGGAGGGAGAGGGGGTCCCGGGGGGGGTCCCGGGGGAGTCCCGGGGAAGTCCCGGGTCAGATACGACACCTCCCTCCCCCACCTTCTCGTCCTTCTCCCCGTTCCCCAAAACCATCCCACAGCCCGTGCCTCTTGCTGCGCATTGCGAACAGGGTCGGCGGCACCGGCCGTCAGGCCTTCGCAATAAATACACACAAATAAAAAGATTCCCCATATTTTCCCATATTTTCTGTGTTTCTGTCTTCCCCCCCACTTCCCATATTTTCCCATATTTTCTGGGGAATCGCAGATTAATTGTGTCTGTGTGTTTCTTTCCCTCCTGACATACGACTGCGTATACAGCCATCGTGCTACCACAAAGAACGCTGAGCCAAGAACGAAAGGGTCCTTCTGGCCACCCCGAGCCCCAGGCACGACGAGACTCCCCGACCTGGACCTAATTAGGGGACGGCCCGAAAACCAAGGCCCCCTCCTGAGCCAGAAGTGGCCCCAATCTCAGCGTCTTGACCGCAGAACCTCCTGGCCTCGGCCCAGAAGGCCCATGCAGCATGCCAATGCCCAGGCTGGGCGGTGTGCAGGTGTGCACTGCGGATTTCGCGAACTGGGCCCTTGAGCTCTCGACACCAGCCCCATGGACCAATTCTCGCTTCGGGCGATCTACACGAGCGTTCATCGCCGCATCTCTCGTCCAACCATTCTGACAACGAGCCGCCAAAGGCGTCGAGCCCGCAGCCCCCGAGGTCAGATGCAACGAGGGGCCGGTCGCCGTCACCCTGTGTGGCTCAGACGGTGCGCGGTGAGGAACTGAATTCCTCACCGCGCGCCGTCTGCACCAAGTCCCCCCCGGACTGGAGAACGGCCCTCGGGCGCCCGAACCATGAGAGATCCGCATCTTAAGACAAAGCCAGGACAAGCATGAAGTCGCGTGAAGTTCAATCGAGAATCTCTGAGATCCGGCGGATCTGGAAGATATCTCGGGCGCCGCGGCCTTCTCAGAGCGCCCCGGAACACTCTGAGAGCGTCCCAGAACGCTCTGGAGCGGATTCGTCCTCGTCCCAGCCCCGCCCGGCGGAGGGAATCCGAGGAGGACAAGGAGCACCCAGGCCTCCGACGATACATGCTTTTGAGGAGGAGGAGGCGGAGGAGGAGGAGGAGGAGGAGGAGGAGGAGGCGGAGGCGGAGGCGGAGGCGGAGGCGGAGGAGGAGGAGGAGGAGGAGGAGGAGGAGGCGGAGGATTTTCAATGCCAGCTGGTTCTCTTGACCCCGGTCCCCTCTGGCCCGCGAGGGAGCCCCGGGGCCATCCGTGGCGCCCGGGCGCCGCCTGACGTTCTGCGTCTCGACGTCGGAGGCCCGGGGCCCTCTTCCTCGCAGTCGGCCCCCGGACCTGCGGCTCCAGCAGGGGCGGCGAGGGCGCCTGGGGAGGCCCCGGGAGGGGCCAGGCAGAGTGCCAGAAGCTCCGCTCCAGAAGGAGCAGCGGGCGAGGCAGGGAGAGAAGAGAGCAAGGAAAAACAAGAGAGGCAGGGAGAGAGAAGAGAAGGGAGATAAAGAGAAGGGCCCGCGCGACGACGACGACGACGAACAACGACGACGAACTCCGCCGCGCCGCGCCGCCGCTCGTCCTGCCGGGCGGTGCCACACCATTCTGCTTTCCGATGAACCTGGGGCCCTCTCGATCGCGAACGAAGGATGTCCAGAACGACAGGGCGTCTGATCGAACTCCAGGCTCCTGAGCCTGTCCTTGGGCGCGTTTTGGCCGTGGCGACGAGGGTGTTGAGGCCCAGACAGGTCAGCACACGTACACGTCCTCCTCGATCCTCTAACCTCGATCCTCTAACCTCGATGCTCTTGACTCGAGCCTCTTGACTCGAGCCTCGATGGGAGGGCTCCTCACGCCTCCCTCGTTGTCGCCGCCGAGTGCCGTCGTTGTGGCCGTCGTGGTGGTGGTCGTAGTCCGACTAACGTCCGCTCACAGATCGGTCCCTGAATCCCACATGGCTGTTTTTTCGAGCCGCCTCCAGCCGTGGCGACGAAAATCCCCAGAGGCGCGTCCAACAAACCTACGATACGACCGCCGCCGTCGCAGCCGACGTCGTCGGCGGTGGCACGATGACGACATCGACGACGTCGACAGCGACATCCATATCGACGAAGATGGAAACGACAACAACAGCGACAAAGACGACGAGCCGACGCCGATGCCGACGACGACGACATCGACGAATTCGACGACAACGACGAAGACGACGATGACGACGACGACGACGACGACGACAGCGACGACATCGACATCGACATCGACAACGGCGACGGCGGCGACGACGACGGCGGCGGCGACGACGACGAGGACGAGGACGAGAACGAGGATGACGACGACGGAGACGACGACGGCGGCGACGACGACGACGACATCAACGACGATATCGACGACGGCTGCGGCGGCGGCGACGACGACGAATACGACGACGACGACATCGACGACGACAGCGGCGGTAACGTCGACGCTGTCCGCCCCCGGGGCGGCGAGCGCCTCCATGTGGTGCACGCGGACCAGCGGCAGATCGTGCGCCGCCGCAATCTGCAGGGCCTTGCGCACCCCCACCTGGGCCAGGGGCTGGCAGCTGGGGACGGGCGCCAACGACCCAGAGGAAACAGACGAAGGAGGAAAATCATGAAAACGAGAAGGATGAGGAGGGAGGAGAAGGAGCAGCAGGAGGAGGCGGAGAGGGGAGGAACACGAGGAGGTGGAGGGTGACAATGACGACGACGACGACGAGGACGACGAGGACGGCGAAGACGAAGACGACGCAATGGGTGGCGGACGCGCCAGACGGTGCGCTGCCCGTGATTTCTTCGGCGACTCCGAAGGGTGTTGTTTGCAACTGGCGCTGGGAGCACATGGGAGGCCTCTCGTGGCCACGGTTGGGCACGGATGCGGTCCGGACATTCTGGAGTATCTGGCGGCCCTTGGGGATCCTGGAAAGAAACGCCTAAACATAAACTTTCGGAGCTCCGCGCCGATTTCTTGGATCGGCGCTGTAGGCGCCGCCAGGGGTGACCAGCGCCGATCCAAGAAATCCGCGTGGAACTCCAGAAGTTTATGTCTACGCCGTTTTTCCTTCTTCAATCTCTCACACTTCTGATACTTTGCAGGCCCCACCACTGACCTCCTCCTCCTCGTCTTCTCCTCCACCCTGGCGGGCGTGAAAAAAACTCCCAGTCACTCCAGCTCCAACATAGCCCAGCGAACGCCCTGGACGTCTCTGCTCCGCTGCGGTTCCGACCCCCGGCGAGGTACAGACATATACGGCGATCGGCTCAAGTGGCTTAAATTATTCCGCCGACCCGGTCGGCAGAATAGAGTACGCCTCTTGAATACAGTCAAAACGTGTATCCAGGGGTGGTAAGGACGCAAGACCTCTGGAGGCCGAAGTTGGGGTTTGTTGGGCGGCGTGCGACCAAGATCCTAGGGGCGCAAGAGCAGCCTAACCCAGGAGAGGCCAGTGAAAACGGCAAAGGACGGGCCGCAGAGGCAAGGACACAGGGTACCCTAGGCCCAAGATGAAGGCGCGCGTCCTTACCGGGCCCCACCCCTGGCAGCCTCCAGGCACAGCCCCAGCCCTGGCCCCACGGTGACCGCCACCGCGGAGAGCTCGGCTGGGGCCACGCCGGCCCGGCGGAGCGCCTGCGGCGGCAGAGGCGGGGCGCCGGGGCGCCTGCTGCTCCTCCCTTGTCCTGCTGCTGCTCCTCCTTCCGGGTCACGCCTGCCTTCGACCTTGGCGAGGAAGAGGAGGAGGAGGAGGAGGAGGAGGAGGAGGAGGAGGAGGAGGCTGAGGCTCTTCCTCCCCATCTGCTCTGCTGCTCCCCCAGCGCCTCCTCCTTGAGGCTTCTCCACCATCCTCTGCTCTGCTGCTCCTCCAGCGCCTCTTCCTTCTCCTCCTTCTCCAGCGCCTCTTCCTCTTCCGTCCTCCTCCTCCTCCTCCTCCTCCTCCTTCCGCCAGCGGGGCGCCTCCTCCACGGTCTTGTCGATGGCGTTGCGGTGCCCCTCCTCGGAAAGAAGGAGACCCCACCCGGGGCGCTGCGAGAAGCTCAGGACGGGCGATCTCCCGACGATCTCCCTCGCCCCCTCGCCGCGAGCCGCCGTCGTCCCTCCTCTCCTCGCCGCCGCCGTGCAGCACAGAATTTGGATACACGCAGGAGTGACCCTGGGTTGGTGCGCGCCTTTTCGGGGCCGCGGGGGGGGGGGGGGCAAACACGAGCGCACAAGATGCCACAACCGCATCGCGTTCGGCGGGGGACCCCAATGGGCCCGCACCAGAGGTCACTCCAACGAAAGGCCACTCTTACGTGTAGTCGAAGAGTGCCCGGAGCCCGCGGTGCGGTGCTGGCTTGCTTCCCAGCCGCCAAGGCTTTACCCGAGGACTGCAGGAAGAATCGGGGGGCCGTCCGCTCGATGCCAAGCGCGCCCTTCGGCCCCTCGGGCGTTTGGTTGAGCCCCTGTCTCGCGCCCCAGGGCCAAAGCATCACAACAGCGGCCCGCAACGAGACGCCACAATTCCCGAGATCTCTCGGGGCCCAGGTCGTGACGACAAAAGTACGAGGTCGGAGGTCCCGGTGGGAAAAAATTATCCTGGCGAAGGACCCAACCATAAGCAATTGCTCGTAACGCGTTGTGGGTGCCGCGTTCGGTGGGGCTCCCTATGGGGCCACGAAGCGCTGATGGGGCCACGAAACTCTGCCCAGGGTGGGGGAAACGCATGCGAGAGCAACCACTGGGGCCTTCGGTGAAGCTCCCTATGGGGCCACGAAGCGCTGCCCAGGGTGGGAGAAACGCATGCGAGAGCAACCACTGGGGCCTTCGGTGAAGCTCCCCATGGGGCCACGAAACGCTGCCCAGGGTGGGGGAAACGCATGCGAGAGCAACCACTGGGGCCTTCGGTGGAGCTCCCTATGGGGCCACGAAACGCTGCCAAGGGTGGGGGAGACGAATGCGAGAGCAACCACTGGGGCCTTTGGTGGAGCTCCCAATGGGGCCACGAAACGCTGCCCATGGTGGGGGAAACGCATGCGAGAGCAACCACTGGGGCCTTCGGTGATCCCTATGAGGCTACGGAACGCTGCCCAGGGTGGGGGAAACGCATGCGAGAGCAACGACTGGGGCCTTCGGTGGAGCTCCCTATGGGGCCACGAAACGCTGCCCAGGGTGGGGGAAACGCATGCGAGAGCAACCACTGGGGCCTTCGGTGAAGCTCCCTATGGGGCCACGGAACGCTGCCCAGGGTGGGGGAAACGAATGCGAGAGCAACCACTGGGGCCTTCGGCCAGGGTGAGGGAAACGCATGCGAGAGCAACCACTGGGGCCTTCGGTGGAGCTCTCTATGGGGCTACGAAACGTGTGAGAGGTGTGCCGAGTGCAGAGGCAAGGATGGGGGAGGAGGGAGGACGGAGGAGGGGGAGGAGGAAGGAAGGAAGGAGGAGACGCGGGGCGCTGTCTCTTCAAAACGAGGACCCAACACCACAGGATGGTTAGGAAAAAGAGGGAGGGGAGGGAGGCGTACAGGGAGGGAGGGAGGGAGACAGGCAGGCAGGCAGGGAGGGGAAGGAATGAGGATGGAGGGAGGAGGGATGCGGTTTCAGGAGGCCCTCGGAAGGTTCAGTGATATTTTTGGGGGCTCGAAGCGTTTGTGGGGCAGCAACGGCAACAACAATCATGCTCTTACTGCTTGTTCCCGTGTCCTTCAATATGTGCGTGTCGCGTATGACCAAGGATGTGAGTTTCAAACTGGTCGTCTGTAGCCACACAGAATCAAACTTTGATGTTTCAGCCACCTAAACCGACGATGCGGCCGTGGGCATTACGTGCCGTGAGCTGGGCTATACAATGGCTTTGGCCCGCTCGCTTTGCTTCCCGATGTAAGGCCTTGCCTCTTCGTCGAAGGCCTGAAGTTGTTCAGGTGTGAGCTTGCCACGGGCACGAGCCAAGGCGCCACAGTCCACAACTGGCCCGCCACAAGCTCGAGCCTCAACGTCATCCCAATGGCTCGCCAAGAGCCCTGGAGGAATCGTCGCGCTCACGAGCCAGACGCTCAGCGCGGATTCGTCAGTCTCAACGGTCAAGCTCACGAGACTAACGCCACCAGGCAAGGCTGCACGAGGGGCATCCACCCCCCCACCGATGGATCTTACATTTCTCTCGTGTCGGGCGTTCCCGACGGGCGGCCAATGCCAGAACCTGTCTCGCAACACCAAGGGTGCCGTGCGCCTCCACAAAGCCGGCCCGCCATGGGCTCGACCTGCCACCCCTACCCAGGGACTCGCCGAGAGCCCTGGGAAACACGTCCAGCTCACGAATCTGACGCTCGGCGTGGCATCAGTGCGGGAGGGGGCATCAAAAACAGTGTCCAACAGGAATTTAGCGGGAGGGGCCAGAAACGCCCCCAGCACTCACTGGCAGCGGCGCCAGCACGCTTGGAGAGCGTATTGTCATTTCTCGCGCTAGCGGCCGTTACTGGCCCTCGCCGCCCTCCCACCCCCAAATAACGTCACGACCCGTGCTGACCTCCAGTTTGTCTCTGGTTGTTCTCCGACATTCCCAGACGGCGCCGGCGGGAAACGTGACGTTGCTGGCCCCGCCCCCCCGTCCCACCCCGTGTAACGCCCGTTATCGCCAGGGTATGCAAAACGCGTCTTTGGTCAGCGGGGACCAAGCGGGTCAACAACAGGCCGACCACTGGCCGCCTGGACGGCTGGTGATCCCACCGCGTGCCCCGCCCAGGCCACGCTCCCACCGGCGCTAACCGCCGAGGACGATCGCGAAAATCGGGGCGCTGGCACCACAGCTGCAACCACCAACGACTGCGCTGACAGCATCACCCGGCCGACTCTGTCGTAGGGCCCGTGGGGGCCCATCCGGGAGGAAAGAACTTCTGGGGCCCGCCGAAGAGACCCAGGGGGGTCTGGTTTCTGCGGGAAAAAACAAGAAATCCACGCGCCTCCAGGGGTCAAAGGTTCAATTGGTCGCCGCGAAGAGGGCCCCCCCGCTGAAGGAGGAAAATGGATCTGACCTGGGGGGTGGGGGGTCTAGGAACGAGTCGGGATGTGATCTGACAACCGCGCCGACCTCCACACTCTCGAGATGGCGCGCACAACCACGAGGGCGGTCCGCGTGGGCAGGGCCGTACCCCCACAACCCTGACAAGTGGTCACTCCCGTCCCCTGCCCTCGCTGGCAGCCTCGCAAGCATGGTTGGTCGGTGGGGCCCGCCACCCAGCAACCTTCACCACCGTGGCCTCCATGGCCACGAGGACGGAATTGGCTGAGGCACCACGTTTCACCAACATGGCCAACCACTCGCCAGTGCCGCTCCTGGCACGGAGAGGCCACTCGGCGGTCCCTCAATGGGCATCAACACCGCGTTATCCATGCCAACCGTCCCGCCAGCTGGCCGCCGCTCATCCCGTTTCCTGGACGGGTCCCGCCCAGGCCACACCAGGGGCTACTACACCCAGGCCAGCCCGCCGAAGATTCGAGCAAACGGGTTCGTCCGCCACGAGCACGAGCCGAGGCACCACGCGGCGACGCTGCTCGCCAAGCGCGCGGCCTCGTCGGACTGCGCGCCACGACGCCGCACTGAACGATGGCCACCAGGGCAAACCCCGTCACGAATTACCCTAAGTCACCTAACTTCGCGCATGGCGCCCCGCAACCATCTTCGCGCCCTTGCGCCGTAGCCCTGGATACGGCTCTCTCCGTGTGGAACCAATGCTCAAGACAGTCTGCGAACTACTGGAGCCCAGGGGCCCTGCCAAGTCGGCCCGCCAAGGGCACAAGCCAAAAGGCCCACAAAAGGCCTTGCACGACGCTGACATTTTCGCACCCGTGTCCCCTGAACCCTCGCGCCCGTCACGGCACTTCACCGGCTCTCGGCGCCCACCAGGCCCACCGAGGAACCCACCCCCGCGCCGCGACCCACCAGGGATCCCTGGCCCCAACCCATTGGCTACGTACCTCTGTCCACGCACATAGCCTCGGCGCCACACACGCGACCGTTCACGCTCAGGTCCAGAATTAGACGAAATCAGAACGAGGATTGCATCACAAACAACGACAAGAGAAAGCGCGCTCGGACGGCTCATCCGCAGGAGATGTGCGCACGCATGCCAGGAAAGTTTCAGTGAGCCTCGGCCGGCCACCACTTGCACGCTCTGCGCAAATGCGCGCGAGGGTAAGCAGCAACACTCCGTCCGAAGAGGGCGGGGGGGAGCGGGGAGGGGAGAGGGGGGAGGGAGGCGAATAGGCAGAGCGAGGAAACTCATCGCAATCACGCGGCGCGTTTACAATATTCTTTGACACTGCAACCCATTCCCGTGGAAAAATAATTCGATAATATTTGCAAGCGGTCGGGGTCGTCCCCCGCGACTCTCAGCGCGCGGGCGTGCATGTAGCTGGTCCATTGCAAGCGTGGTCTGCCTCGCTTCTTCAGGCGCCGTCAGCCCCGTGGTATTAAGGAGTGCGCCTCGCCCGTCTGGAAAACCATTGCTCTCGGCAGCGATTGCGACGGCGCCTTTCCTAATTTACCATAATGATTGAGCTGCCTCTCCAGTGATATAGTTGACAATGGAAGAGATTGAGCTTCAAGCCGGACGCACTCAATGCTGGTGAAGGATACGAACGCCAGCTGAATCTCCAATACTCTGCGACAGCATTTGGCTTGAAATGTATTCAGTGTGTTTTTGTCTGCTTGCAGGAACACGCAAGATCCCAGCCATGAAAAGAATTTGGAGAAGACGCAAGCTTGCAGTACTCGTAGCTTGTGCTGTTTGGTCATGTTTGCGTGGTTTCAGACAGTATCTAATTTGTCAAATGCCCATTTTGTTTCACCGAGACGGCGCGAACTTTCAGCCTTGGGCCAACCATTTGCGCTGAGATTTCTTCCCCACTCGGCCCCACAACCGTAGCATCCGAGCTGATTTTCAATAATAATGTTTTGCCAGCGTTCGTGTCGAACCCAAGAATTTCCCAATATTTGACACGATATGGAAACTCCTC